AAGAGCACAGATATTGAGTTTTTAACAATGATAAACTGTGGCAAGTATCACTTCAGCACTCTTCTAGCTTTGGATCCTGTAATAATCAAAACTAGAAACTGTTCCAAATATCCTTCAGATTAATCCTCATGCTATGCACAGTGTTGACACTAAAGATTCTGGTTTAGTCAAGCCAAATATTATTCATAAAATGGAAGAATTACTAACATGATAAATTGTCTTTCTTTACTTTCTCCTGTGATGTGTACTGCACGGACTACCTGCAGAGCTAAATCTCTGAATCTGATCAGAATTAGAAGAGAATGCTTTGAGGTGAAGGAAAGGCTGAGTGCAGTCTGCTTCATTAACACAGTCTGGGGCATCATTAAGATGCTTTGTTTTCTTACAGTCACAGGAATACGTTTAGAAAAGACTTCATAACATAAGCAGCAAAAAAAGATTATTTCTCTAAATTTTGTAGAAATGTGGAGAGAGTAAAAGGTCTCTACCTGAATTGTCACTAGTAGGTTTTTTGTGGGGTTTTTTTGTTTGTTTTTTTGTTTTGTTTTTAAGCTAAAGAACATATCTTACTAGACTGATGGAATTACCTTTCCCTCCCACTGATAACTGAGTATCTTCCTCTTGACAACTACAAAAGTAGCTTACAAGTCAAATTAATATTGAGATACTCTTGGAAGTGTTCCTAGCTTCTTTTAGTATTACTAACAGCCAGATGTAAGCATAAGATCCACATGATCAGCAAATCCAGGATGAAAACAGCTGGAATAGTAAGATCATAAGGATAATAATTTATGGGAAGATCTCTACCATACTTTACAGCTTGTTTTGCCTTTACTACAGTTATAAAAAGAGAGCTCGAACTTGTCAGAATAATTGGAAAATACCTTAAAATTTATCTGCCTTGTTAGATTACACCTTGCAATTTCTTCCAATGGGAAGGAAAGGAAGAAATTATTCAGCATTTTCTGTGGTCCTCTTTCCTTAGCAGAAAGTGCAACCTCTGTTCTTTCACAGTATGGGAAACAAGTATTCATCTTCTCATTCAAAACAGAGTATTGCCAGGTTAATATAATAAATGATGTGTTTATTATCTGTGAATGAACATGATTCATCCACCTGTCAAAACCAGTAAAAGGAAGAAAATTTTTAAAGTTCAGTTTGTCAAATAGGGATGTACTTTAGACAGCCATCTATCCTCAGCTGGTTTTTGTGCAGTCTGCTGTTGTAACTTAATTTTACCCAGAGGTTCATTAAACATCTGGTTTAATCACTAAGCTAATTTCACTCTTTTTTTCTGTGGCATTCCAGTTATCTTGACATTTTAGATATCTATTCCAGATGATCCCAGTACTTGCAGAGTTTTGCCGTGTACACATGCATGACGTAGATGAAGGCTATATTCACAGAATGCTTTCTCACAGAATTTCACTCCTTTTCCTCTAAAGGACCTCACTGACATTTACGCAAGTGTTAGAAAGTTGGTATTTCATGTCTTAGGGTTACATTTTTCATTCGGTTCAATGACACACTGGAATAATTTAACTATTTGTTATGAGTTCCTTTCGTAAAGCAGCAGCTGTCAAAACAGGCTTGATCACAAATACACAAAATCATGAATTAGACCCAAAAAAATCACACAGGACTTAAAATCAATGCTCTTATTGTTCTCTGGAAAACATCTGTAGAAATGTCAGTCTAAAAATGGTGTGTTTAATAGCACAGGGGTTTTAAATTCTACTGCTTGAGATTAAGAACAAACAATAAACATGGACTTGCATAAAAACCACCAAGCTTAGGTTATGCAAGATTATTTTGGATTCATTTTTTTCCATAATTGGCCATAGAACTATATAACTTTTAACTTCTTGAATATTATATAGTAGTTTTCTCAATTTTGTATTAGTGTTATACTTATATGTAAACTGAGATAATATATATGTGAGTAGAAACATCATCTGTTATAAACGGCTGTTAAAAATGTTACAAATGTCAAGACTACATTCCCACTGAGTCTTGTCAAGTTACCTTAACTTTTACCATGTTTTCTCTTACGGATGTGTCACACCATGTAAATTCAGGGATTTAACTCAGTTGTATTAACCAGCTAGAGACCCAAGATTCCACATCTGCACAGTGCAGAGAGAAGAGTTTCCCGTCCTGTGCTTTGCAGCAAGAACATATGAGCAAGATCCACAGTCTGTCTGCAGAAATGTACTTATGCTTATTTACATGGCCTTCATCACCCATATTTGAAGTTTGACGGACATTAACATTCAATTTATGGACTTGTGCTGACTGTAGAGGTTTATAATCTTCTAGTTTCTACCCAGAATCTCTTAGCAAATTTACACTTTTGGAAATTGATCCCAAGGCCACTAAATGTAAAGATAACCTTTCCATGATGATCTATGAGGTTTGGATCGAGACACTTGTTTTTAGCATTAATGGTCTTATTTTTTTGTTTGGCACTGGAAATATTTTGACAGTGAAATAAAAATAAAAGTTTCTCAATACACTTTCTACTTAATCTGTGCTCATGGAATAGTTAATTAAGTAAATATAACCTCTCTTTCAAAAAATGCATAATGACTTCTGCTATTGTTGTAAGCACCACTAACGTTCAGGAAAAGTTCCTCAAAACATTTTTGAGAAGTTTTAAATACTCCATATTCAAACAGAAGTGTGTCTAAAGCTAGAAGTTCAATAAATTGCTAGTTGGAAGTACACTTGGCTTGTAATGAATGCTATGTTAAATTTTATTCCTGTCAACATTTCAATAAATGAACCACTGCTTTTAAAGAATACTTTAAGTTCCCCAGCTTATTGCTCCACTCTCTCTGAACAAACTCAACCCATAAAAAAAAATAATTTGGGGATTCTAAAATCAACTGCAAAGTGAGTAAGCACCTAACAGAAGTCTGTTTAAGTTTATTTTCTCTTTCATTTATTTTATTTCTTTCATCTTCAAAAAAAATCATAATACTGAATCTTAAATAAGATATATTTCTATAATGTATTAGTTTTTAAAATACTTCTTTTGCTGCTGTGCTTAACTGAGAAACCTGCAAGTAACTTTTGAGTATATTCAGACACTGTGCATATGTGTGCACTAAGATATTACATTTTTCTCCTCTTCAGACAAGCAATTTAATTGTATGAATGCACAAGCTATTATGATGATGTCCATAAGACTCTGTGTGGAAACATGTTTTTATATGCAGCAAAAAGCAGAAGCACTGTGAAAAGAATTATTTGAATTACAGCGCTACTGTAGTTGCATATTAATTTGGGTTTTTTCCTCCTGAAAATTGTTATCTGAAGAATAAAAAATCATTTAGGAAAAAAAGGCAACTAACAAACAAAATTCAGTGTTAGAAACGGCAATTTAGTTTAATTTGTGTGCTCAGTCTTGGGTTTCATAAAAGAAATGCAAAAGAGGTGTTCATTAATCTCTAATTCTTTAGAGGTCAAAAACAATTCATCCTTTACTACAAGCTAAGGTGAACCAATGGTGTAAATCAAACCACCAGTAGTTGCCAGCCAAGTAATACATTTCTTTTGTTATCGGTACTTGCCATAAAACTGACTGGCCCAAGCTGTTAAAACAAAAAGTACCACACATTTATATATCAAAGTATTTTTTTGACTTAAACCTACACATACAAAAAAGTCAGAATTGGAATACAGTTTACCTAAACATGTTTTTTTTATATCAAATAGGATTTTTTATCTTTACTTACTCTATCTATGATATGCCATTACCTTGGTACTCACTACCCCTGTTTAATCCAAAAAGACCGTGGAAATCAAGCCCGATCCACTTCAGCAAGCCTGCTTACTTCAATTTTTAGTGAGGAAAATGTTCTTCTACCACACTGTCTCCCCCATACAATTCCTCTGCTTGAATTAACAGGTATTTTATCAAGCTATACAGACCTATTCTTTAATTCCACAGGTAAGAGTGCCATCTAAACCAGGGACATGTCAAACTTTTGCAAAATTATAAGTGGACACATGTTGACTTTTCCAATTAAATTAATTAAATAAAAATGTATATTTAAGATTTTTATAAAAATCACGTGCTAGAAGATAAGGGGAAA